TTAAATTTTAGATATTTAATTGATACAATTTATTACCAATTTGTTAACAAAAATATTTTAGTTCAGACATGTAAAGCAAACACTTACATACCACTAACTTAATAGTTACATAATCTGATGGCAATTAAACAGAGTTTATTTAATAGTACTTTAAAAGAACGCTATAGCCTTAGGAATGCATGTATTTCTAACACCATAAATATATTCTTAATGCTATAGTGTTAGGTTACCAATTTGGATTTTTGCCTTCCTCCCTCCATGGGTTGTAAACTCTTCCAATACAATGCATCCCTGTCGGGCTGGATTTGGTGGATATCAAGACCAGAAGGATACCTAATATGAATGGAGGACTCTATCTGAAATCCACAACCTAAAGGTTGTGCATCAGCCATAAGAAAGGAGATTGGGGCCTGATGAGTGTCAAGGCTACAGCCATAGATGAAACATGTAGCATCCACAAGTACATCATGAAGGTGGCTCCCAAAGATGAACTACTAAGGGAATTCCTGAGACAACAACAGAAGGAGGATGCAGAAAAGGAAGACGTTCCATGGCAAGACAAAATTCTCCATAGGATGTACCAACAGAAGATAGTATATATGGCTCACATTTAAAGTTATTACCAGTGGTTGTAGGACGGAAAGAGCTCTGAGGCACTAATCCTAGCACACATGAACACACATTCAGCACCACATCCATAGAAGTGGGGGTCTACCACAGAACAGCCCCAGCAGACAGAAGGGAGCTCTAGGAACTCCCTGGTGTAAACAGGGATTTAACAATGCTCACATCAAATCTGCAGGACATGTTATTATGTCCTAGAGGCATTGAAGCCCATTATTTTTAAGACGTATCAACACATCCTAATGTCATTAAGGGGTTATTACATTTATAATAAAAATACTTTTAAAAAGGAAATTCAAACTTAAAAAATATCAGCTGAAGGAGACATTGATATACCAAATAGCCATGATGCTTTGTTGGTATGGTGTGATTCTATAAATGGTGACAAGCTGCTGTTCTAAGGAATTATGGAATTGTTGTAGGATCCAGAGAATCTCAAATCTGTGTGGATAAAGGTAAGGCTACCTTCGCACACAGTCTTAAATTTAATGTTGTGTCCCTTTGTGATTCCTGGATACCTGTTTTTTGACTGTTTGAGAGATTATCTGGAAATTAGTACAATCAACAGCTCCAACAATGGCCCCAATATATTATTTCTAGATAAACTATTCAAATAATTTATTATTTTTGAATAAACATTTAAGGTCATTATATATATATATATATATATATATATATATATATATATATATATATATATATATATATTTTACATGTTTTTAATATTTTGAAAATTAACTGAGACTTTATCCATAAAGATTACATCAAGGCCAATTTTGACAACAAATGTATAAACCCACCCTTGCTACAACTGCATTGTGGATTCAAATTTTTGAAAAGAGCCACATTGAAAGAGGGAGAGAGAGAGAGAGAGAGAGAGAGAGAGAGAGTTTTGCCTTTTTTTCCTCTGCATTTTGTTTCTTTTTTTGAAGGGGGGAGGGGGGCAGTGAGAGTGTGTGTGGTTGTACAAGCCAGGTAGTCTGATTGCCAGGGTGTCTCTCTGCTGCACTTTGACTTTGCTACAGTGATTAATATTGTGCTTTTTAGTATTCTGTGCTTTAATTTAAATAAAAATGTAATAAAACAAAACAAACCATAATGGATTGTCCACGTCCTCCTCACATTCTCCCCTCAATCAAAGTGATTGAGGAAACTGGTAGCCATTAGGAATGTGCATGGGCAAAACATTTAATTTAGGTAAGTAAAAAAATTGGTCACTTTAGCAATTCAGCACTTCAGCAATTCGGTTCGACGCTGCACTACTGAAATTTGGAACTTCGGCAATTCGGGACTTTGACAATTCAGACCTTCGACAATTTGGGACTTATGCCATTTGGAAAATCTGTAGGGCTCCCAAACCCTACCGCTAACCCTACCCCTAACCCTACACCTACCCCATCCCCTAACCCTATAACCTACCCCTAACACTAACCCTACCCCTAACAAATCCCCTAACCCTAACCACCACAACCACTTACACATCTATAGGGCTCCCAGTGCCATCATTCACGTAATATTCCGTCCCTCTCTTGATTTGCCACTTTTCAGAAATCTGAAGCACTTCGGCACTTCTGAAATTTGTCATTTCGGCAATTTTTCACTTCAGCACGTCTTCAATTCAGTTTGGTTCGGCACTTCGGAAAAATCAACAATTCGGCACTTCTGAATGTCCGAGTTGCCCGAAATTCATCTGAATTCACATTCGGAAGGAAACGAATTGCACATATCTAGTAGCCATCATTTTGCTGCTTGTAGTACCACTACTAGCTCCTCCACCAGTACTTGTGTTAAGAGGCAGAGCACAGGTAGTGGTACACTTGCTTCCTCTTCAACTCACCTGAAGCGGAGGCATATGAAACAGCAGGAGCTGCGAGTGCCACCACCCTCCCTGCCCCTAGAATGCCTACATTCCCTCCCACCACCCGCCCTGGGCAAATCTCCCACAACTACCCCACTACCACCACCACGACAACTCTCCCTGGGGGACCCTATACTGCTCTCCCTACCAGCCAACACTTGCTCTCACTTTGCTCTCTCTCTCTCTCTCTCACACACTCTCACTTGCTTGTTCACACACAAATTGCTTTCTCTCAGCTCTCACACCCTGCTCTCACACTCTGCTCTCACACTCTGCTCACTCTCTGCTCCTAAACTCTCCACAAAGATGGTGTCACATGGGTGGGATTAAATAGTGTGCAGATGTGTTGCATGATGGTGTTGTGAAAATATAATTTTGTAAATTGCATATATACTAAACTAACACTGCTAATTATTAACTAAACCCAGATCACTTCTTTAAGATTAAGTGGTCTGGGTGCTGCTGTGGTCCACTATGCAATGTAAAACATTGTTGTTTAAGAAAAAAACACACAAATGTTTATTTTGCAAAAGGAACTACATGCCAAAATGCCCAATTCCCGAAATGAATGCCTGAATGCCGCATGCCCGAATGCAAAATGTCCGAACCGAATGCCATTTGGCAGTTCCGAAGTGCCGAACTGAACCGATTGCCATAGGTCCAAATTGCTGAAGCAGACGAATATTTTTACTTACCCAAATTTCCGAACCGAACCAAACCAAATTTTTTGCCCATGCACATCCCAACAATGTACCCCATTTTTGGCAGTCCCTACTCTAGCAGCCTAATGTCTGCTCTTATGAGATTAACCCACTTGTGACTGTAAAAAGGCTTGTTTGGGCCTTTTTACTATTTGGTTCGGTAAATGGGATTTACCGAACAAACTACCGAACAGCCGGAACACACACAAGTGGAGTGTGCAGCCAATTTACCTCCCAGGCTGGTGGTTACCGCAAGCTAATGACTGGGTGGTCGCCGTTCGTATAGTCGAACACATGGAGGCGGCAATCTTAGTCAAATGCGGTCAGCGGTGTTTTGTCGTTGAACGCCTGGAACTCAAATCGGACACGCGCACAGCCTAAATCCCTGGAACTAATTTGGGCATGAAAGCTATGCTTGTCAAATTTGACTTCCAGGAATTTCCTGAACCCCTGCTCTGATCTGGGTTATTTTTGGATATTTTGTTCACCCAGATCAGGGCTATCCAGGGATGTATAATTTATGGGGATATATGGTGTTTTGGGGTGTTTTCTGTGTATTGTGAAAAATGTTTTTCTGCTTGGGGATAATTGAGGTAATTACAGTATCTTACTCAATTATCTCCCAAGCAGAGGGGAGGATTTGTGTACCTTATCTGGGAGTGTATAACTGTACAAGTCTGTCCTGATTGGCTTTGTAACTTTGTATCCTGTGTTCCACAAGGTCCACGTGGGTGGTAACCTTGTGGGAAAAACCTGTATATAAGAGACAATAAACCCTCAGACTGCTGAGTTCCTGTTTTACCCTCAACATAGAGCCTCATCGCATGTATGGGGGAAAAGGCTGCATCTACACTGGGGATTGCTATACGCTGTATACTCCCCTGGCTATAATCACTAAGCTCTTTTAAGAGCTTGTTCCTGCTACTCTCTCTTGGAGGAGAGGTTCACCCACTGGAACCTGGATCCTTGTCATAGGTCCAGGGTGGGTAGAGGACGGCAAGTTCCCAGCCAAGCTGCGGTGGTACATGGGATCTGCAGTGCTTATGGTGTCTTGTGCGGTGCTGATGGTCCTTGGTAAGCACTAGGAGCATCTATTGATGGAGGGTCCATCACACCACTTACTTGGGAAACATTTTTTCCACCTGGGGCTCTCAACAGTACAAGGTTAAATAGGGCCCTGGAATGAGGCACCTGTGAAAATGCATTGTACACAATACATATTAGCAAACATTGGCTTCAGAAACTGAGATACAGGGATGCTCCATTTAGCCCTACCCCACATTGCACTGATTCGCTATAGCGCTGTTATATGTCTGTTACTCACAGAGCGCTAAACCCCGCTATAGTGCAGTTTTTTCCTTGTGGGACCCCACTTAACGCTATAAAGAGCGTGACAGTGTTAGCGGGACAGCGTTAACAGGGGTACCAGTTTGTGGGAGAAAGAACCAGAGAGAGACAAAAAGAGAGAGAGAGAGAGAGAGAGAGAGCAAAATCCAATTTGGAAGATCCATTGGCAAGGTACAGAATACTTTCTTTGTTCCCTTGTTTTTAAATTATGTGATTGTTAATTAATTATTAATTGTTAATTGTCTAATAAAATGTTTTTTTGTTTTTTTGGGGAGTAATACAGATAAAGTCACATCTAGTGATTCTTATCAGGGACCCCCAAATCCTGCAGAGAACATCCAGTGGCAAGGTACAGTACAGAATACTGTATTGTCATTGTTCCATTGTGTTGCATAATGTGATTGTTAAGTGTTAATTGTTACTTTTCTAATAAAATCTACATTCATTGTATTTTTTATACTGTTTTACAGATGTCTGAGCACAAAGAGGAGCAGGCTAAGGGCAAGCACCCGAGTATTCCTCTGGATGTCAATATTCAAATGCTGGAATGCCTGGATAAAGGAAAGCGCCAAGTGGATATTGGGGCAGATCTACATTTGCCTACCTCCACCATCTGCACTGTCCTCGAAAACAAGGATATGATCCGCACTTCAAAGACGACCAGCACTGCTTTTTTCGGCCAAGAAGATCACCCGCTCCAGGTCCTACGCTCTTGAAGAGATAGAAGAGGCTTTCCATCTGGATAGATGATGAGCTGGAGCGTAACATGCCTCTCAGCCAGGCCACCTTGATGGAGAAGGCGAAGAGCATTTACACTCACATCCAGAGTCAAGATCCAGATCTGACGGAGAGTTTCGCAGCAAGTAGAGGTTGGTTTGAACACTTTAAGGAAATGTACAACCTCTACAACCTACAACCTTAAGATCACCGCTGAAGCGACAAGTGTGGACAATGGAACTGCTGCGGCCTTTCCAGCCTCTTTCAAGGATGTGGTGGATAGAGGGAGCTATCCACTGGAGCTTGTCTTCAATGTGGATGAGACCGGGCTCTTCTGGAAGTGGATACCAGGCCACACTATATCTCCAGGGAGCAGAAGAGAGCACCAGGCTTTAAAGCAGCGAAAGATAGGCTGACCTTTCTTGTGGGTGGGAACGCCAGCGGTGACTTCCGTATAAAGCCATTGCTGGTGTACCATTCACAGACACCGCGGGCAATGAGGGGCATTAGCAAGTCCAGCTTTCCAGTAATTCGGAAGGCAAACAGGAAGGCATGGACAAGCAGGGAGACTTTTGCAGAGTGGTTCACTGACCATTTCTGCCCTTCTGTGCAGCGTTATTGTTGGCGCAAGGGACTGGAGGAGAAAGCGCTGGACAACGTGCCGAGCCCCCGACTATCTTGGTTGAGCTGACCACCTGCATTCCTGTGGAGATCCTGTTCCTACCACTCAACACAACGTTGCTTATCCAAGCTATGGACCAGGGGGTGATTGCCACCTTCAAGGTCTACTATCTTCGCCACACATTCCATCAGCTGATTGAACACATGGGCCGCGAGGACAAACAATCAATGTTGGACTTCTGGAAGCAGTACCACATCATGAAGGCTGTCTCCAACATTGATCTTTCCTGGAAGGAGATGACACAGCAGTATCTCAAGGCTGTGTGGAAAAAGATCTGGCCAGAGCTGTGAGGATGTGCAACTACCAGAGCTCATCATAGCAGTATTGGACCTTGTGACCACGGCTGGACTAGGAGACACAGATGTTAAGGACATTGAGCATTTAGTCCAGGCTTCAGGTGAGAGCCTCAACAATGAGGGACATAAAGAACTGGCCGAACAGGGAACACAGGAACCTCAGGACACCAGCAACTCAGACACTGGGCCTCCAAAAGAACTTTCCTCTGAGCACCTAAATAGGGCATTGCAGCAGGTCAATTACATAATGGATGAGCTGGTGGCCAATGATCATGATGTAACTAGGAGCAGGAATGCAAGGCGCATTGTGCTGGGAGAGGTGTCCTGCTACTACCATCTGCTGGATAGCCGCAAGAAGCATAGACAAACGACCCTTGACCCTTAAGCCTCCACATCCACCAGTTGAACCTTTTTTTTGAACTATTACTTTAATTTGGTACTGTTTCTGTAATTTATTGGGTGCAAACCCCTTAGTTTATTTTGCTTTTTATTTATGCTGCTGTGTGCAGTTCACAGCAATTAAAAAGTTGTACAAGTTTATTGGTGTTGTGTCATTTTTTTTTAAAAGACGTTCTTCTCCATGTTAAACTGTTAAGTCCCCGTTTAGCGCTGTTTCGCTTAGCACTCATAGCAGTTGGAGCCTATCTACAGATTTAAGTGGGTTATTCCTGCATTGTCTCAAGATAGCAGACATATATAGTTAAGGTTATTAAAGAGTCCCACATATAGACATTATTTCTGTATTCTGTTGGCATCTTTAGGAAGTTGCTTTCCTAAAAATAACAAATACACTGGGCATTTTTGTTTGTTTATTTTTCTAGGTCATGTACAGCTGTACATTACAAAAATTGTATTTCTGTTTCAATGCCAATATTTTGCACC